AATCTAAAAATGGATCTCGCCTCAATTATTCTCTATCACTGAGTCTCGACTTATTTTCTTCATAGTATTTAGCAGAATCTGAAATTATTCTTTTTTGTGTGTGCTTGGCATCTGCTTCTCCAATAAAATATAAACTCTATCAGGCCAGGGCAGTATGTTCAGCTCCTAGAATATAGTTCTAGGGCTCAACACAATCAAACATGCACTTACCAAAATACCACTCTGGTTGGATAGCCGACTTAACACGCAGAGACCAGTTAGGAAGTTGTGGGTGAGTGAGGCAGGGAAGTTTGGGTGAGTGACGATGGGAGCTTGTACTAGGACTGTGAGCACAGAAGTGGTGAGAAGTGAATGGATTTCACAAATATTTGGGAAGAAAATCATTTGTCCTAGGCCAACCATGCAGGGACAACAGCAAGTGAGAACAAGCTTGGCATGCTGAATGAACAAAAATGGGAGATGGAGCACAGTGAAAAATGAAAAAATGGTAGGAGATGGGGCAGACAAGGGTATAATCATGTAGTACTCACAGGCCACAGTGAGAAGCTTGGGTTTTGTTTTAAATGTAATGGAAGCTATTGAATTGTGTAATCAGATTTACATTCTTAAAAGATCATTTTGAGTGCTACACTGAGAATAAATCATGGAGGAGGCAGCCAGGGTAGAAGCAGGGCAGAGCAGGTAACATGGCAATTGTAAAACCATAGAGAAGAATGAAGGTAGCTCGGGTTATGATTGTAAGAATGGAGATGAAAAGCAGTAGGTAGATTCTGAATGGTTTCGGGACTAAAGTAGCAGCATTTGTTTATGGATGCAATGGGCAAAAGAGAACATGAAACATGTCTAGGTTTTTGGCCTGAGCAACTGGGCGAATTTTTATGCTGTTTCCTGACATGGGAAAAGACAAATGGGAGAGAAGTGGGAATTAAGCCAAGTTAATAAACTATTATGTTGGGTATTATCTTTCACCCCATACGGTAAGTCTGGATATTTCCCACATAATTTTGTTGACTGTTTCTGTAAGTTATGTGCCAAGGACTGGGAGTTTCAAATATTCTTTGCAACACTTGAGAACTAAAGAATCCCCCTTGATCATGATCTTCTGTGTCCCTGTAAGCTTTACAGGCACACATGGCATCATCATTATGCTGAGTCCTATACTTTACTCCACGACATTACCTGTTTTATAGAGTGCCACTAGGACAATTCAGCAATATATTCTATCACCATCTATCAAGGCATGAGAAAAATCATCTTCTTTTCAAGCTATTAGAATTGAATGATCACAATCCAGTTATTTGAGATTATTTCTTCATCTGAGCAACAAGAAAATGGTCTCATTTCCAAGTTTAAAAAAGGAATTATATAAATCAAGAACCAAAGACCTTTCTCAACACTAAATCACAATTATTTTAGGTAGTACTATGTAGGTTTAGAGAAATTAAAAACCGTATGTATTACTCAAACATTTCTTCTAATATTCATTTGATCACATATTTAATAGGTAAACATGACTTTGTTATCCAAGCCAGGACACTTATGAGTGACAGAAGGAGCTATCGATAATTACAGGATAACACCAGGACTGTGCAGACATACTGAGGTCTAAGGTCACTCTGTTTATAACATGATGCCTTAAGAATGAAAGCTCAGACAATATCTGGCTTCATTTAGCTAAGTCAGGTGGTAAAATATGAAGAATAAAATGAAAGAAAAATCAGAAATTCTGCAACTTGCTTAGTAACTTTTCTCCTCTTTGCTTTTCATTTAGTTGATTTAAATACATAATTACCAAATACGTTTTGAAAAGTCAGTTTATTCAATTAAATTTGTGGTACAAATCCAAACAAAGATTCTTATTTCATTATATTAGGTCTTAGATTAGGGCTTAAGAAATCTAAAGAGGATGCTATAGACATATCATCTATACATCAAAAGAAAAATTAACTTCAAAAACTAGAATAAAAAAGTTAGGCCAGGCATGGTGGCTAATGCCTGTAATCCCAGCACTTTGGGAGGCCAAGGTGGGTGGATCACTTGAGGTCAGGAGTTTGAGACCAGCCTGGCTAACATGGTGAAACCCTAACTCTACCAAAAATATAAAAAATTAGCTGGGTGTGGTGGTATGTGCCTGTAATCCCAGTTACTTGGGAGGTTGAGGCAGGATAACTGCTTGAACCTGGGAGGTGGAGTTTGCACTAAGCTGAGACAGTGCCACCGCACGCTGGCCTGGGGGGCAGAGCAAGACTCCATCTCAAAATAATAATAATAATAATTAAAAAGATTAAAAAAATAAATTCCAACATTTATTGTAGTCAGCACATAAAATACATACATAGGTTTGGTACAAATATATGCATACAAAGGAAATATTTATATATAGAATAAGACTATCATATCTAGAACTAAGACAAATCAAACTGAATACCAAATCTTTGGTAACAAAAGGGAAAAGGTTTCCACTAATGTAAATATGTACTTGGGGACATTTATTTTCTCCTTTCAGTTATCATTTTTAAACTATGCTGTATTTTCTGTATAACCCATTTTTCATCTGCCCAATTACTAGCAATCTTTTTTCTACTATCAAAAATGATCATTTGTTTCTTTATTGTAGTAGATAAAACATCCTTTCATTGTTTCAGCTCACAAGCTGTGCAGATCCTACCCACTGTTCTTGCCTCCAGCACTTCACATTATTGGTGTATTATTTCATGCATGCCCTACTCTTTTATCAATTGCTTTTGAAGTAATGTTAATAGACTAGAAAATTGAGACATTTATGAAGTATAGGCAGTGTTTATGAAAAAATCCATAAAATATGACACAGGCAAGACAAAAGCAGCATTTTAATAGATTATGGCAAAGAGATCCTGTCAGAGTTGACAACTGACTCCTTCGAGATCACTAATTTTTATGGGATTAATTCTGTGGTATAAAAAATGAAGTTAAATGTCCTAATTAATCTGTAAATAGCACACCCACAATTAAACCTTGTGGCCCCTTCTTGGATTGGGGCTGCAGTGATTTTTGAAAGTAATTATCTCAAATCCACAATGAAGATGATTTTTCTTTTTTCTTTTTTTCTCATGGCATTTCAGCTAAATATTCACTGGGATTCAGACTTGAATTACAGTCTTCTGATATATAAGTCAGTTTGCAGATTTGTGTGGAACCACATTGATTACATTTGTAAGCTATAAACTTACAATGGTTTATATATTAAAAAATAAAATTTGGAGAAATGGTGCGGAAAGGAAGTGGTAGAGAAAAACTAGAGTTTCTCCATATTGGGGCAACTCTTCCTTGTTCTTGAAGAATCCCAAAAGGTTGAGTTTCCTTCTCTTACACAGGTGATAATGTGGCGGTGTGTTGTCTCTTACACAGCAGTTAGAAAGTACATTACACTGGAGTTAGAAAATAAAGCACTCCCTGACTTTTCCATCATGATGCTGTGGCAGGGTGCTCCAGAAGTATTAGTTCCATTCCTCTTCCTTGCTTCCATCTTTAATATTTGAACTTAATAATACTTTCTAATAATAATAATAATAAACCAAGATTCAAAGGTGTTAAAGAAATTACTCAAATTATATATATAGGAGGTAACAGAACAGATTCTTGAAGCTAGATCTCCTGACTCCAAATCCTATGCATTTTTCAGTATAAGTATACAGTTCAGGTTGCAGCTTTGCAATAAAAAATAACGTGATGATAAAGTAAAATATTCTACCAGTTTTGAAAAGAAAATTATTCAAATCAGTAAGCTCTGAAGTTAAAAAAAAAAAAAAGGAGGAGAGGTTAGTGTCTATTTACTCTTCATTTGAATATTCTATATTTTGGAGGAATGGGAATATGAGTCATCTTTTTTTCCCCTTTTTTTAAAAGAAGCATACTAATTTCCTTTATTGAGTCCTAGGATAAAGTAGGATTGTAAAAGTCATTTTTTTTTTGTTTATGCTCTAAGGCCCTGGTAATAGGTAAGCTGTGATTATATTCCTGAAAATAATATTGTAGCAAAAATGGTATAATACTGCCAGGTTTGAGAGAAAGATCTTTTAAGTTGCCATTACTTGGCAAAGTAGTACTAATGTTAAGAAAACAAAAATTGAGGTTCTCAGATATAAAAATCTAGTTTTCTGATTTATTATAGTCTTTCTTATATAAATGACAAATATTTTGGCTGAACTGATACACTGATGTGGTTAATCTGATTAAATGATATATTTATCTGATTATCTAACAAATTGAATCATATAGGCTAGCCCAAACCTTTCACATCTCACATGAGGAAATAGAACATTGAGAGACACTAAGTGATTTGCTCAAGATCATGTACAAATTATATTACAGATTCCTGACTAGAACTCACTACTGCTGATTCTAAGCCCAAGTTCCTTTCCAATACATTACCTTACTTGATTTTATCAGAATATTATTCGGTCAGAACCTCTGGTACACACAATCTAAAATTTTAGCACATCCTCTGATGGAACATCCTTCAACAGGTGAAACATTTAAGAACAGACAGGCCCAGTATTATAAACATGATTGCAAAGAGAAGTCCTAAGCTGACAGAAAGAGAAAATAATAAATGGCACCTTTTTCATCTCTAAACTCTCTAATTCCGAGAAAACACCCTAAAGCCTTTGCCTTGGGTAAAAAATATTTGAAATGCCAAATCCGGTTATCAATTCATCTCTATGTGTGTCGGGAAGGATTACCACAGTTAAGTATATTCTAATCCTGTTTATACCTAGCATTACTCCCTATGTTCCAGTAAGAGCGCCTATTTTTATTTTTATTTTTGAAGTGACACTAACCTGAGAAGAAAGAAAAAACAGTATGTTTAAGCCATTCTTCAAAGCTCATCTCTATGAAGCTATTTTGATGGTAAAAAAAAAAAAAAAAAAAAAAACAAAACCCCAGCAAGCTGCAGCTAAATTACAGTCTCACTCTCACATTCTCTGAATACAAATAACAAACGAACGTGATATACTTACAGAGTTTGATAATCAAATTTGTAATTCTGCTTATTTTATGCTGTTCTGTCCTAGAATTGAAAATAAAGACAACTAGTCACAGAGGGACACTTTTAATATTATTGTTTTCACATTTTCATATGAGAGCAAATGGGGAAATCTCCTTGTACGGTCTGGTGAATACAACATGGAATTTTTACATAACCAACTCCTGTACTCATTAACACTACTGAGACATCCATAAAGGTTTGAAGTGTTTGATAATGTCTGTGGAGTAAGTAAACTTGTTGTCTCAAGTCAGGTAGTATGCTGTTAGTTCTACTATAGATGATGCTTCATTTTAAGTATCTTTAAAGGGCACACAGTAACTCTTTTCTAGGGTGTGTTTTGCCTCCAAATTATTATTAATAACACCCCTTACACTCACGAAATGTTCAACATCATTAAATGGAAAACAATGACTAAGGTCTTAAAGAATGTTGAGCTATTTTTCATGACTTTAACCACGTACCCACAGACACTGTGTAACAATAAAATTAACATTTTCCAAATCTCGTATGCTTTTAGTTCCTGATTATTCCTGTGATTCAAACCACTTTGGTTTTCAGTTTTAGATTATTCTGTTTTACATCCAATTACCACTTTAGGAAGTTCATAATTGACTTGAGATCTACCATCTCTTGACTTGCCACAAAACCACCTGTATTAAGTTTGAGGAAGTTTGAGATAATTATACAGGAAATTATAAAGTATTGGTTATTGTGCTTAGACCATTTAAAAAGCACGAAAGATTGTTCAGATCTCACATAGACAGAATTCTATACATATTTCCAACAAAGATCAGTTACAATTTGTTTTCAACTTTTATAAGAAATTTTTTTTTATAGCCACCAACCAGAAGACACAAAATAAAATTACATTAAAGTAGGAAAAACTTAGCATGACATAAATACTCAGACCTGAAGGGTCAACAAGCTAAATCGAGTTTTATAATTTCGTAGTGGTTATTCTGTTATTCTTGTTTTGGGTAATTGTATTGCTGGAACACTAAGGTTTTCACATCTGTGCACTCTGGATCACCTTAAGCCAGCTGGTTCCTTTCAAAACTGCTCATCTTTTGTTCTTACTATGCTCTGACCTGGGCCCCTAGCCTTAAGACAGCAGTGTGCTTTCTGCAGCCAGGATATCCTCTTCAAGACTGTCAGACAATCTCAAATGATTGATGTGCTAGTCTGGTGCTCTGGTATTTTTCCCTTTCGTAAGACTCCAGTAAATCTACAGCTCATTCTATAAGAATGCTAATTAGATCACTTTTACTAACTTCACGCACGTTTTTTTTTGTTCTCCTGTATCTTTGGAGGTGAGCTTGAAGTTTATAATACAGCGTGTTTCTAAAATATATTTTATGATATTACATAGAAATAAAATACATTTCCCACCAAGGGAAATAATTCAAGTGATGAACTCAATTGGCTCTTTTCTTTCTAGAACTGCACCATGCATCCTTACTATGCTTACTCTTATTGGGAGCCTGCTCTACCCTCTCTGAGGTCATGCCCCTTATTGAGTCATGGTGTTCTATCATTCAAAGCCAAAGCAGGGCAGAGTCAGATTCTGTTAGGCTATCAGGCTTGTGTCTTTGCTGCAGAGCTGTTTTCACATAAAGACAGACCTCTATCAACCTCAGGACATTAATTCTAAGCCTCTTGCCTTAACACAAATTGTATCATGTCTCTCAACCTGTTGATTTTGGCTTTGAATTTCATGATTGATTGCCCTTTTGGGGCCTTACATAACCTCCCATCTGAGGCTAAGAACTGACTTTCTGGCTTCAAACTTTTGCTTTCATTCTTGACCATATTTGGACTTTATCTCCAAATAGGTTACCTCCCTCAGTAAAGTTCAGGTCACTCTGGTTTCCAGAACCTGTAGTTACCACAGCAGAGCTCCCTGCAGTGAACACACCCAGCATGTTCAGCCTGATTCCAGAAGTCAGGCTCAGACTGAGAAAAGTCAGGAACCAAAAAGACTGGGTGGATGTTGTCACGTGGCCCTTACGAACAAAGGTGGTTTCAGAGCGAGGTGGCTGAGAGGAAAAAGAACATTTCAGGGATAAAGAAAAGCAGATAGAAAAGTCCGGGCAACTTTAGGGCTTTTATAGTATGACTGTGCACAGTACAGTCATAAAAATATGTTTAGTTCAAGTCATTTAAAAAACTGTAATCTAGTATATTTACATTAAATTGTTTCCCTACAGATTTATTAGTGGCAAGAGAAAAATGGATAACCACACAGTAGAGAAACTGGGCACTACCCTGACTGGGTCATCAAAATGAACATCTCCATTGAGGGCAGATGGATACAGCATGCCTCCTGATGTGGCACCCTGAGAAGAGCACATCATCTCTCACTCTGCATTCAGCACAGAACATGTAACCTCAGTCTACCCACCAAGAAACATCATGTAAAACCAAAACAAAGACTTCTCTGTTATTAAAAATGGAGTTACAGTTTTCAAAAATTTGAACACTATAAAAGCAAAACAAAGCTTTATAGAAATGCTCCAGATTAAAGATGACTGAAGAGCCGGGCGTAGTGGCTCACGCCTGTAATCCCAGCACTTTGGGAGGCCGAGACGGGCGGATCACAAGGTCAGGAGATCGAGACCATCCTGGCTAACACGGTGAAACCCCGTCTCTACTAAAATACAAAAAAAAAAAAAAAAAACTAGCCGGGCGCGGTGGCGGGCGCCTGTAGTCCCAGCTACTCAGGAGGCTGAGGCAGGAGAATGGCGTGAACCCGGGAGGCGGAGCTTGCAGTGAGCTGAGATCCGGCCATTGCACCCCAGCCTGGGATACAGAGTGAGACTCCGTCTCAACCAAAAAAAAAAAAAAAAAAAGGTGACTGAAGAGTCTAAATCCTAGGTTGAGTCCTGATCCTAGGTTGAGTCCTAAAAACAGTCCTGACCCTGTTTTTCCTGAGGAACAACAATGGTATAAAGGATATCATTGGATTAATTAACAAAATTGGAATACAGATGAAGGATTAGAAAAATGCATCAATTTTAACTTTACTTGTTATAAGACAATATTTTTATTTTTAGGAAACAGGTACTGAAGTATATAGGAGTAAAGGGACATGCTACTACTTTTCAAAAGGTTCAGAAAAAATATGCTGTGCATATGTATACATATATATGCATATCTTATGTGTGTGTATATATATATGCATATATACAAACACACAAACACACATATATATTCAAAGAGATAAAAGAGAATGAGTAAGCACAGTTATATGGTAATGCAGATGTAGCAAATGTCAGCAACAGGTGAATGACAGTACAAAATAGATAGATATGTGAACATTCTAGTATCATTCTTATTCATGCTACTTTTCCGCACATCTGAAATAACTACACAATGAACCTGTGAGGAAATAAAAGCTTCTGGCCAGGCATGGTGGCTCACACCTGTAATCCTGGCACTTTGGGAGGCTGAGGTGGGAGGATTGCTTGAGGCCAGGAGTTCAAGACTAGCCTGGGCAACATGGTGAAACCTCATCTCTACAAAAAATATAAAAATTAGCTGGATGTGGTGGTGTGCACCTGTAATTCCTGCTGCTCAGGAGGGTGAGGAGGGAAAATCACCTGAACCCAGGAGGTTGAGGCTGCAGTCAGCTATGATCCTGCCACTACATAAATAAATAAATAAACAAATAAATAAATAAAACCTCTAGAATGTCAAAAGCTTCTATGATTTACCACAAAAAAGCATGTGAGGTGATAGATATGTTAATTGGCTTGATTTAATCATTCCACAATGTAAATGTATAGCAAAATAGCACATTGTATCTCATAAATGTATACAATTTTTATTTTCAACCAAAAATAAAATAAAGTAACCCTCCCAAAACAAGCAAAACAAAACAATCGTCAGGTATGGTGAGGGGTGGGAAAGAGCTGAGGAAGGCAGGGGAATTTTTACAGTAACAGAAATCTCTTAATTTAAGTTCCTGATGGCCAAAAAGAAAAAAAAAGTACTTGGATAACCCACAATTGGAAAGACAATTCCTACTGAAATGAGATTATACCTATACCCAGAGAAGATTCTTTCTTCTTTATATGCTATAAACATTTAGGAGCTGAGACAGTTTGTATTTTAAGGAGACATATGTAAAAATGATTTTAGGTCTTAGTGCTTCTGTTATTTGTACTTCTACACACTAAATATAATAAATGTAATTTGAATGTAACAATAAGAGAATCAGCGCTATGGAGAGAACAAATATATGCTTATCTGAAAGTTAGCAGATAAAGAAGTACTGCCAAAATAAACAAGCTGAGAGTGAGAACGGACATTCAAAGTACATTATTGTGTTACTGGAACATCTGGTACTAACACTGTCAAGTTTACATATGTTCTCAAATGCTTATTTATGTAACAATCAAATGCTAAGCATTCCAGCTGCACTTGTAAACTTTTTATGAACTGAAGTCATATGCACAAGCTCAGCTAAATATACTTCACAGAGGGAGGAGCGTAAGGAAACTAAGAACTCTCACAACTGAAGTCTGATTGCGGTGCAGCCTTCTGGCAGTGTTCTGGACCAGTGTCTGGTGTGAGAACTAAGCTGCTGGCTCCTATAAGATTCATTCCATTCCAGCAGCTAGAATCAGAAATGCCTAACCAATGGGTCAAACATAATTTGGCAGTTACCGTTTTTAGACATAATTTTCTCAGAAAAGAAAATGGTATCAGGAAAAGAAAATAGAGCTAAGGACATGATGAAGTAGGTCACTAAGAAAAAGAATATTTAATATTTAAGTGAAAAAATATTTTCCTCAAGCGATCCTAGAGTTAGCACAAGTGGAATGACTGATTGTGGCAATGCATAAATTAGAAAAGACAGCATAAAAAGAGGAGGCATGTTTGTATGATAATTATCTCATATCACTCCTAATGAAAATTAGTTGTGTGAAACTTGCCTTCTTAGAGACAGAATTCATAGTAACTGCCTTAAACCCATTTTAAAGAGCAAAAAGGCACAGAGGGAAACAAGCATTTCATGC